CCCCAAAACCCCAAAACCCCAAAACCCCTTAATGCCAGAATTTCTATTTTCGAGGGGAATGGAATTTTTTAATATTTAGGAATGCTTTACAGGATTTAAATAGTTAGAGTGGAAAGTTCTCTTACACGAGAGAGAACATATCCAAGCCTCTCAAACTTGAGCAGCGATATCTTTCTTCTTACTGTTGATTCTTTCAAAGAATTGGTCCTCGTAAGATTTAGGTGGTTGAACTACTCCATGCTTTTGAATAGCCTCCTTAAGTTCCTTGTCAACTTTTTGAACCTATAGTCATTTGTAAATAAATAAGATTAATTACCATTAGAGAGACTTGAGGGGAATCTCTAGCATTAACGCTGAAAATTCTGCCTTGATATTTATTAGTGTTGTCTAACCACAATGATCTTGTTTGGCTGAGGAAATCTTCTTTCTATTCAACATTCCAGTATTTATCTTCTCCGTAGAATTTGAGATACTCTTTTGTGCTCATGCAGTAAACATTGAGAATACCATCCTTTCTTTGCATTGTCAAGTCTTTAATGGCAGTAATTGGAGCTGGGACTACTTGTTCCAAGTGATGCATTTCATAAACATATTCTGTCTCGTTCCAGAATCCATCTGGCTTGTAGACGAAAACTAGGTCCTTGTCCTTGTTATAAACCATTCTTGAAACATAGTCTAAACTAATGTTTTGCAACAATGCTAGAATTGAGATAATGTAGAAGGTGTTTGCAGGTCTGGCAATAGATCTCTTAACACCATATTGGATGTTCATGTATTCATGGTCGTCACAATATCTGTACCCTGAAAGACCCCAACCAGAGCCATCTTGGAATTGCTTTGGAATTTGAACTGAATTCCAGTTCTCTGCCATCCAGCCAAGTGATGGAGCTCCATCACCAGCATATATTTCAAAAGTATAGAAAGCTGGAGCAATACCAATAGTGGATACTGTCATTACTTTCCAGAATCTTATCCACTCAATAAGTCTTTTATTCTCATAAATTGTCTCACCAAGTTCGAAGTTAAGTGTTGGATCTGGATCCATTGATGGAGTTTGAACGAATGGCTGGAATTGATAGCCTGGATGAGCTGGTGCTCTTTCGATACCAAGAATTCTTTCGATTGGCTCTTCTCTGAAAATAGGGTAGCCTAATCTGTCAGCGACATGTGGGAATTTCTACTCATCAGTCCATTCAACATCATACTTTGATCCCTTGTCATGATCATAATGATGAGCCTTGGGTCTATTCTTGAGAGTTTCAAGATGATCGATCTCTTGAGTTTGAGAGAACCATGTTCTGGTTGGTTCTCTCCATCTGTGATAAAATTCAAAGAATAGGTTGTTCAAATGTTCATCTTGATTGGTTGTAATTTCAACTTGATTGAAGTGAGGTGGAATGTAACTAAGGTCATTAAGGTTTTATGGTCTGACTTGACTAATATGTAAATCGATCAAATGACTATAGTAGGCATAGATTTCGTATAATTTGTCCTCATTCAAATCCTTAGTGTTGATATACCTCTGAATATGCACATTTTCATGGGGAAGAATCACTGATGGATGTCTGTGGGCGTTTCCTGGTGCTTTTTTGTTGTAAATCTTAAGGTTCTTGGTCTTTTTGTTTTCATCAACTGAGAAGAAGAAGTTTGATCTTGTTTTGACTTCCTTATAAATATCACTCTCAAGTGATTGTCTCTCTTCAGCTGAGAGTCTCTCTTGGAAAGCCAGATAATCTAATTCTTGCTTAACTAACTTTGAGATCTTCTTCTTGATGTATTTCAAATGATGGTGATCTTCTTCCTTGATCTCACTGATTTAACCGAAAATGGTCTTCTTTTGATGTGGATCTCTCAAGCTATTTAGCCACTCAGCCTCAGCAGCCTCTTGCTCTTGTTGCTTAGCGAGGTGTTCAACTGAATATTATTGAAGAGTTTGATGCTGCTTGTGTGAAATATTGCTCTGGATGAATTGTTGTTCTTTAGTTAATGCTAATTTTTAGCTGTCAATGAATCTTTGAATATCAGCTTAACCGAAAGCACGTAGAGAATTGAGGTTTGCAGTGGTCTAAAGTCTTTAGAAGAAAGCGCTATGTTTCTTATAAGCTCCCTTGAGGAACATATTTTGAGAGATATTAATTATTTATAATTAATTATAATGCTAAGATTATAGCCTCATGGGGTTTTGGGGTTTTGGGGTTTTGGGGTTTTGGGG